GCCACAGCCATGCATCACCCCGACGGGTGCGTTGAGGCTATCATGACAGTGAGCCCGGCGAAAACGATTCGCCGTCTTAGCGTCAACGAGGTCATTAATAGCATACTGGGCGACGTGCAAGCTAAAACATTTTCGTCCACCCCGTCAAAAGATGACACCCTTCTCCGCAAAGACACTTTCGCGGCCAGGGACTTGGCGCTCATCCAGTCGTGCTTTCCGGTACCCTCGTCACCGCTCACAGGAGGAAGGGGGGGGGGTTGTTGGGGGCCGCCAGCACGTCACGTCCCCAAAAAAGTGCAGGGTAGGCACTCCGGCACTGGCTGTCCTCGCCTTACCAGCGCTCACGTCGCCGACGAAGGAGCGGAAAGAAAAACAAGCTGGTAAGCATTGACGATCGTCGCCATGTCAACACTCCCGCGTTTCGGGATTGTCGACGCTGTCTGTCAACCCTCTTGCCGGCTTATGCCCCACGTTAGATGGACAAAATTCCGCTTCACTTGTCAGCGAGGACCAATTGGCCTTTTGTTCTTTAACACACCGTCACGCTTTATTCTGCAACCGCTCATCCGCTCCTCCCTCTACAAGTCCTCTGTCGCCGTCTCGACTTTCTATCTCTGGCCAACACCTGTAGTGCGGATACCGGCGGACTACAAAACAGACCGTCCGATAAACGATTTTCGCAGCGACGAGCTTGTGTGCATTCACACATAAAACGACGAGCGCAGTCTAGCCCGAGAACCTTGCACATGACGACGAAAGACCACATCACGCCAAAGAAGAGGAATGTTTACAAATGCCGAAGTTCGGATTCCGGCGGACTTGCAGCTACAACCAGCAGGTCAGGTCGCAGAACCCGGTTTGATCTTGTCACTGGAACTGCGAAAACCGCCAGAAAAACGGTAATACGGAAGGTCTGTTCCGAAGTCCGCCGGCATCCGAACTACAAGTGACGGCGCGAGGTGGAGCATGCCCCGTTGGTCAATGTTTGCGAACTGTGGCTGCAAGTCCGCTGGAATCCGCACATCGGCAAATGCCGACTTTCCACCTCGTGCCGACACTTGTAGTGCGGATACCGGCGGTCTAGAAAACATACCCTTCGAAGTTTCGGTTTCCTCCGGTCATCGCAGTTCCAATGGCAGGACCAAACCCGGCTGGTCCCTGTCTGCTAGTCGTAGCTGCAAGTCCGCCGAAATCTGAACTTCAACATTGGTAGGCGTTCCTCTTTTTTGGCCGGATGTGGTCTTCGTCGTCATGTGCTGGGGTCTCGGGCTCGACAACGCTCGTCGTTTTATGTCTGAATGCACGCATGCTAGTGGGCTACATTATCTTTCATATTGTCACTTTCGTCGAACTCCTCCTGGGAATCATATATTCATTCCGGGTTCTGTTTGTTCACTGTTTCACATGGGTCCAGACGTTTCAAAAAAGAAGTTTCTCAAAATATCTGGCACGTGTATTACAGAAACTTCCGAGATTCAGGACAAGAAACAAGAATATGTTAAAGGCATCACGGGTTGATGTTGAGATTGGAAAGAAGGAGCATGCCTTAGCCATTCACGAATGTCTTTCCCTTCTACCTTCGGAGAAGGGGACATATCCACCATCTGTGACTAGCGGTCAGGCCATGTATGAAAAATACTTAGCGACATGTCGTGCGGTGAACGACGACCTTTAGAACTTCCTTTCTCACTTCCCCGCATGTGCGTTGGTCGATGATGTGTAGCTCGGGCCACAACACCTGCAGCCTGGGGGGGGCATTTCGCTACGGCGATTGCGCCTCGAGTCTCGCGGGTTATGGACAATGTTTCTCGCAGCGTGGTGCCTCCTCATCATGTCCTCTCTTCCTTTGCAGATGATCAATTCAGAATCACGGCAAAAGATATGCTCACCGTTTTGCAAGCCAATTGCAAGATCAACGATGAGGTGGTGAATTTCTACATGGCCCTTTTGGGGTCGACGGCATCCGCGACACGTGCACGGCCATCAGACCTTCGAATCTTCAACTTCAATTCTTTCTTCTTCAGTATGCTGCAACTTCGAGGGCACACTGGGGTGGAGAGGTGGGCTAAGAACGTTGATCCTTATCACTTCGATATGATCTTCGTTTCGGTGCACAAACATAACGATCACTGGATCCTACTTTCCGTTAATTTGAGAGACAATGTCTTCGAAATTTTTGACTATTTTCCTCGCGTTAAAGTCGATTCTTGTTTCTACTGTAGTGTTTTCGAGTTCATTGTACAATATTTAGAACGTCATACCTCACATAGCCGGTCAGATAGGAGTTTGAAGACTATGGTCAGAAAAATTGTTGTGGAAGGAGTTCAATGGCAAGTTGATGGAGCTAGTTGCACGGTGTTCATGTTGACATTTGCAACGCTATTGCAACGTGGTGATCGACCCCCTTTCAGATTATCGAGTAAAGATTTGCCTGTTATTAGACAACAACTAGCAACCTGTCTCTCTGAAGGACGTTGTCTTTGACAGTTTTCAATGACTTGTACAAAATTCTATAAATGTATTTCATTCTATGGCAATTGTATTGGGTATGGCAGTGGTACTATTTTCGTGCAGTTCAACATTGTTTTCTTGTAGTTGGATGACTTTTCCATGTGTGGACTTCGTCACCTGAGTCTCTTGTCGTGTAGTGGAACAATTCGTGTTGCGCTCTATGATTTCTATTGCAAGTGAAACGCACCGGGCACCGACATCGAAAGTTCGGATATCGACGGACTACAACCTCTTCGCCCCCCCGGCAACAATCTTATGTAGGTTGTGGTACATAAGATTGTTGTCAGGGGGGAGCGAAGAGGCTGTACTCCGCCGGCATCCGAACTTTTGATGTCGGTGCCTTGTGCGATTCTCTTCCTCTATATGTTGTGTGTGGAAAGTAAGGCGTAAAATTGGATTGTTGCCCCTTGCTTGTCACGACGGTTTGCAATTTTGCTATTTGAAGGCATCTGTGTTCTCGCGTGTCTTCTAGCCCTTAAATGACGTTCTCTCACTCTCTTTTCGTGCAGTGGAACAACTCGTGTTGCGCTCTATGATTATTATTGCATGTACGACAACCTACATAAGACTCTTGTCAGGGGGCGGGGGCGAAGAGGCTGTTGTCTGCCGATATCCGAAATTCCAATGACGGTGCTCGTTTGTTTTCACCTGCGCTCGTCCTGTTCTGCTTTTGCACTGCTCTTAGAATTAGTCCACTTGTGGAATTTTTTTTTTGGTGCATGGCAGTTTTAGACACAATCGCGGGCGTGAGATTCATCTTGCATTTCCACGTGCCGTCCGCGTTGCTGCTTGCGTTTCCGCGTGCTGTGAGTCGCCCCTGCGCCATCACGTAACGGCCTCGCTAAGAGCAATTCTATGGGGGCAGTGGTTTCTCTGAATTCACCGTAGTGGTCGCCTGGTGTCCAACTGCCTGTTTCGCCCCACTGCTCAGGTGCACCCATACCTTTTTTCTGTTGGTTATTCCGCCGCGAGCGCGCGCCTGACTTATATAGGCACGGGCGTGAGCTTACACTACATCATTCACAAGCCATGTGTGAGAAACGTAGGGTTGGGGGTTCAAATCCCTATTTTTGCTCGTACCATCGCAACGTGGCGCACTATGTGGCACCCATAAGACCAGTGCCCGACATGAAGTCGGCCTGGATTAAGGTGGCCGGCCCTGATGCGGGCCGGCGCACTATGTGGCACCCATAAGAGCACCACGCTGCTCTTATGGGGGATTGGGGGAAGGCTCAATTGCGGAGCAGTAAGCGCGGTAGTTCCCTTCTTCCCTTCCTCAACTCTGCCCACCGGAACTTTTGACGTTCCAACATTCAAACACAACAAGGAGTCGACTTCATTGTGTTGCTGTGATTATCGATTAGTGGGGGCCGCCGGTTGTGCTGCTCAAGGCACCTTGCTCATCACAATCAAGGCACCTTGCTCATCACGATCAGAAATAAGTATGGATCTCAGCACACTTATCAAACTTCTCCAACTAGGATACAATCAAGGCGCCTTGCTCATCACAATCGAAAATAAGACTTAGCATGGATCTCAGCACACTTATCAAACTTCTCCGATAAGGACACAATCAAGGCGCCTTGCTCATCGGAATTATACATAAGTATGGATCTCGACACACTTCCCCATATCAGGCACACCTTGCTCATTATAAACAAGTATGGATCTCAGCACACTTCCGCATATGGGGCGAGTGGATGGGTGAGTGGATGGGTATGTCTAGGTTGCTTAGGCTGCAGCTGAAACTGAATTCGTTCGAAAGAGGACACAATATAATGTCCTATTTTAACGAATAACGTATTGAATTTGAATTTGAGGTCCGCGGCCCCACATATGAGAAAGGTAGTGGTGGTTTAACTATACTCTTCTCTCAMTTTTTCCTCACACTACCTACCTACCACTATTCCTACCTATAGGCATACGGGAAACCCGTAGCATACCAGAGCCGTGTTTTTACGGCCCCTCGAGCCTGCAGGATACCGGCCAGGGGACGGCCGGTAGCACCAGGGATAAAGCGGACCGATCCCCCGTGCCTCCCCTCAGGCCCCTCCCCTACGAACACGGCAGACGTTGCTTGATGCCGATCGGGGGATCCAGTGGTCTGTCTCTTGGGTAGCAGGTGCCAAGTAAGCCCAGGAAGGCATGAGGCCAATGGGTGTTGAACCCATGACCTCCTGAATGCTACTCGCGACCTTACCAACTGAGCTAGACCGCTGGATATTTTTCCATTTTCTTTTCTATATCTATGAACACCTATAACATCTATAAATATAAATATAAATACTCTTGTTACAGGCAACAGCCGGGGCCTTGGCCCACATGCCAGCGAATAGTATAGTATAGTTTACTAGTCTGTGTGGCAGTCGGGAAACGAACAAGATTCAGCATGTGCATTTGCCTCCTGGGTCATACACCTCCATAATTTTTTTATTTTTATTTCTTCGGGAAAAGGACCACTATTTTCGCCTTTTTGCACATCCACGATAGTGGGGTGCAGTTGGGCGTCGCTCCACTACTCTCGACAGACACAAAAGACAAAAAATTGTGGCGGTGTATCTTTTCGTGCTCTAGCAGAAGATTCACTCTCGTTTTGCACATTTCGATAGTATAGTGGAGCCAGGCCCTTTATTAAAGGGACCTCCTTTGGGTGTAGGCAGAGCCAGAGGACGGGAGCCCACAGAAAACCAGAAAACGAAAACACCCACTTTTTTTACTTTTTTTTTCCCCTTACTCATAGCCTCAGGGCATACTCACACGAGGACCAAAAAACCCAAGATCCCAAAATTGGAGTCATTTTTCGGGTCACACTGGAGAGGCCTGCTACCCAAATGCCTCAAACTGTGCCCCTTCTGTCACCGGCCTGTGGGGCCGCGGGCGTACCCTTTTTTGAGACCACCTCCGGAGGTGGTCTCAAATTACCTTTCGTTTTTTTTTCCCTGTTTTCTCGAATTGAAGAGAATACAAGAAGACAGCCCGCCAAACAACTGAAAGTGCGACCATGTACATTTAAGTTGTAGATAAGGCGCAGGCGTTATTTTTTTTTTTCTTCAAACAATCCATATTTTCGTTCCCCGTGTGACCGGGCGCACTTGCCGTGAATGCAAAGTGTTAGGGTTGCGACTTCGTCCTTTCTGGACGAGGGTCCGCCCGTGTGGTCACCACAGCTGACGTAATATAGCACTTACCAGAGGGCCTTCCTCGTCAGAAGCATGTTAGATCAATACCAACCAATGCACTACTCTTGAAATGCACAAAAGACAAAAATAGTGGCGGTGTATCTGTCCATATTCTAGCAGAAGATTCACTCTCATTTTGCACATTTCAAGAGTAGTGCAGCCAGCCCTCTGTTGTAGGAGGCGGCAAAAACGAATAGTATTCTACACCAGAAAAAAGAGGTTAGTATTCTACACCGTATTCCCTCTCCCTCCATTCCACACGGGACCCCTAAAGCAACTAAGACC